ATCTGCTTGCTGTGTCTGCATGAAGATGTTGACACGGTTAGCACGCGCTACCTCCTTTACTCCCCTCTGCTGGTTGCGCGCAACTCATATAGCTATGGCAGAGCTGCACTGTAGAGAAGATATGACAGGAATGAAGAAACACGATGTTTTGCCCCTATGGCAGTGCTTTAAGCCCTTCCCTTCATTAAATGACTGCTTTTAACATGGTGTTTTTTTGAGACTAGTGATGGGCATGGATGATGACCATCACCTTCTTTTGTCCCTCCGCCTCCTCCTCCAAGTCAGCCTCTTAGGCAGCACGAAGTTCCACACTTAATGGGATTGGTGAGATAAAGAAGTGGTGTTGCGGCTGGGTATCTTCTAACTTGCAAGGAAATTCGGTTTCTGGCGTGCATAGTTGAAGGATGTTTTTCCTTACACCACCGATTGCGTTGTGCCAACTGATGTAACTGAGGTTAATTAAAAGGCAGCACATAGAGCGATCCCCAATAAAGAAAGTCCGAGTGTGTTCTATGCTGACCGATTGTTTAATTTTTGGTTCCATGGACGAGACAATAAAAGCACTTTCATAATGATTTCATGCTATTCTGTCCCAGTAAGACGTCTTCTTTCGTCTACACGATTGCTATTGCATACTACACTGCTGCCAAAAGGCATTTTAGTTCATTCCTTTTTTGCTTGTTTCCGGTCAAAAGTGACAGTAATTGGACCCTTAACTTGGGCCAAACTTAGGAACCGAGCAATGACATCGCCAGAGGACGGTGATAACTAACTTACTCTGTAATTTTAGCCGTTGCAATCAAAGCGGCAATCATCAATCCACTGAATTTGACGATGCACGTTATCATCCAACGTGTTAAAAACCAAAGACAAAGAGAGTCGCATATTCAGGAAACAAGACGTCCACCATGTGCGCATCGGTCATTTACAACATTTGGAATGGTAAGGGAATAAAGGTTGACAACTTCAAAGGAATGCAACGATAGCTTGGCATTTTGAATTTACGGAATTGAGTTGTGCATCAGTCTACTTCACGCAGAATTTAGTAAACATTGCCAACTTTTGGACGATCGCGATAGATTCGTGAGGCAATGCTGGCATCTATTTCACTTACTCCACTGAAGGTGTCACTTACTAACAGCCATTGACGTATCTTCTCCATACGCCTCTGAAGTCAAAGGAAGACAGAATGACTTAGAAAACAGATGAAAATCTACCAGCGTGGCCTTGACTACAAGCCCATCTAGAGCATTAAGTGCTCTCAAAACCGAAACAAATGGTTTAGCGAACAAACAAGGCGCTATAATCGCCACCCATTTTGTGGTGTTTTGACTTCCAGCTCTTTCAGCCTGCGGTTGATCCTGAGGGACAGTTTGGATACTTTAAAATGGGATTTAGGCAAACAAACTGAAGCCCTCAAAATCACTGACAAACCAAGGATATGCAGTCCCAACTGATGAATAGTCACACAATCAGGAGAAACTTCTTTGCCTTACACATTCCATTATATTAGACATCAAAGAAGTGACATTTTTAATCTGCACAACGGCACGTGCCAACTGATTGCAAGCAGGCGGAGTTGGGGTGCTACAAGTAACCTACAAAGTTAGACCAAATGACCTAACAAGAGAAGGTGGATTATGAAAACGCAATGTTTAACCAAAGTCCCTACAACAGTACTGGGAAGGAGCATGGCGGAACGAGATCACCTTGTTGCGCGCATGTAGAGAACAGAGGTCAGGTCGAAGGAGGAGGAGAAGACGAGTGATCCCAAGGTTGTTGCTGCGTACGGCAAGCATGAGGGCGGTATTGCCCGAGGCGTCGCGTCGATCCTTTTGAAGTCGCGTGCCACGGGCGCAGAGACGCGCCACCACGGCTGAAGCTCCTTCGCAGTTGCCACGCTCCACAGCACTTACCGCCGCCAGTAGCGCTGAGGTCCGCGCGGACTCTGTGCTCCACCGAACTAAGCAGTCCAGCGCTGTGTGCTCTTCCATTCCCATTGGCTAACAATGGCATTTATTAGGAGGATGTGCGCGAATGCCATACGGCATTACTGACACCACCTAGTTTATAATTCTCTCTCGTCTTCTGACTAGCAGCTTTTAAACCGCGTTCTCCAGTTGTTGCCAATTTTGGGAGACATATATTCCCCGAAAAGTGGCTTCTATTCTACCAGGTTAATTTAAATCTCAAGCTTCACACAAAAAGGCACTTATGTAAATAACCGAGTTTAAGAAGACACATAAGATACGGAAGCCAAATAAATTCTATCATAAAGCTAAAATGAAGCTGTTACATATTTTGAGCAGTCCTTAAAGTCAATGACCTCTAAAATAGTGAAAAGTAAGGAAATGCCCTCCATTACGGTTGATTGTGAGGCTCAACTGGCGTACTTGGCTCAGTGCTTTAGCTGATTAAGTGAATGAGTCGCTTCAGTCGACAAAGATGGGGACCAGTTTATGCCACCCAAATTGTCTCTCGCTCATTCCCTCAAATCCAAACTGAGTGGACCATTACTTTAGAGATGGCGCATATAGTGAGAGGTAGAGGTTTAGCCTCCACGCAAGGGTTTTTATCGAATAAAGCGATCGGAGACTTCCTTTAAGGCTAGAGGAGCCGGGATAGTTCACCCGAATATATTCTACCGGACCATTGGAGGACTTCAAACTTTCGCATTATCCAGAGGGTGGAGCCTCCGGAAGAGGTACAATGACAGAGACTCTGAGTGACCCTTCTGCAAAGCCTC